TATATATATATATATATATATATATATATATATATATATATAATTATTGTGGGTAGAGTAGGGTAGGAGAATGCGGAAATGAATGACTATTCCACATTCCTACCCGATTTTTGCGGCTAGTCGTTCAGTGGGATAGGGTAGGGTCAAGTAGGGTAGGAACTTGCGGCCGGTCGAAAATTTGAACACACCTATCACCTGACACTATTATCTATACCAATCTAACTAGACTCTCTGCCAAGCTTCACTTCCATGTCAGCTGATAATTGCTACCATTTACTTTGTTATAGTATAGATACGTATTTTAAATTTATTGGGTACTATATACTGAATGACTATTAGTAATTATAACATGAGATATGTTAATACGACAAACAAACTAACCTCTAATTAATTATAGTTAAAAAAAAACGTGTGATTAGAATCATTCTTAATTATCTAACAAAAAAATAAATATTTTTGAATTACATGTGAACTCAAAAATGAAGAGTGAGAAATAACGGTCCAGTTCTCTCTCTGTACAGTTGGTGTAGTTAAGCCAGAATATTTTAAAAGGAAAGCCAAATCCACCTCTAATGCATAAACAAATACAAGAGGTTTCAAAGGGGTCTGGGTCTGGCTCCTCTGAGGTAAGGGGGTTACCGCATGTCATGCGGTTTAATAATACGACACCATTTTTGGTGTTTTTTGCAATTTTTTTTTTAACTGCCCTTGTTAAAAACGACGTCGTTTTTGGCACCTTCAAATCCTTAGACTCTGCATCGAAGCCTTCTCTCTCTCTCTCTCTCTCTCTCTCTCTCTCTCCATGTGAATTCTGTCGGCAACTATGGAGGTCCTCAACCCCAAAATCCCTACCAGCCCTGATATTTTCTCTCGAATTCTAATATTCTTCTCCTAAATTTCCCTCCACGGCATGGAGTAAGACAAACCCATCAAGAGTCGGCATACCCAAATCCAAATTGCCTCTACAGTCACCATTTTCACTATATCTATGCCTCTCTAGTTCCAGAAAATTCCAAATTTCTGCTTATTTTGGCCGGCCCACAACCCATCGAAACTCTATGAAAAAAAGCTCAATGAACAACAACGCGAACAACAACAGGTGCGTCACAATCCTCAAACTAACGACCCAAGTCTGGATTTTCAAAGCCCAGTTCATCATTTTGATGACATCAATAGTTTTCAATCAAATTCAGCTAATCATAATGTACGGGAGAATAACGCGAGTAGTGATAATGTGAAGGGAATAAAATCAAAGGTTTTGGGAGAATCTGCTTTGTGGAATAAATTAGAGAGTTGAGTCCTACCCCCACCCCAACTCCATCGCCTACCCACGGCATCGATATCCCATTCGCTGCCGCCGCCGTTGTCGTTGCCTTCGCCGCCACAAGAAATTTTTGGTTCCTTGGGCTTGAAGACGAAGTAGTAGATAGGATTTCAGATGGAGAGGAGGCAGCCACAGTATGGAGAAGCCGAAGGATTTGAAGGACCAAAAACAACGTTGTTTTTGACAAGGGCTATTAAAAAAAAAATTACGAAAAACACCCAAAACGGTGCCGTATTATTAAACCGCATGACATGCGGTAACCCCCTTACCACAGAGGAGCCAGACCCCGTTTCAAAGACCAAAACAACGGGTCTGGCTCGTCTACAGTCAGGAGCTTACAGCATATTATGCGGTGAAGTGAAATGGCAGCGTTTCACTGGCTTTTGTAATTTTTTTTTATTGACCTCACCAAAACGATGTCGTTTTGGTCCAGCTAAAAACCTGATCTGCAGTCCTTCTTCTTTGTTATATCTGAATATATCTATAGCTGCTGCCATGGCTTTTCAACAAAGTTAAACAACACAGAAGAATTACACTAAATTATACAGAAAGAGAAACTAGCAATAACTAAAGAGCAAGAAAGAGATATGAAAAAAGAGGACTTAAAAACAATTTATTTCTTGTACCAAAACTAAAGAACAGGTATATTAGACTCCCCTTCTTCCCCCCTTCTAAAAACCCCACTTCTGAGATCCCTTTCTATCATCTTCTGTCTTTCAAACTTACAATTTTGGGGGTTTGTTTTAGTTGTTCTTAAACATATGTGAACACAAAACAAGCAAACTCATAAGGGTGTTTTTGAAACCTAGCTGATTCAGAATAGAGATCCAAGTTTTTTCTGTATTTTTTTCTGCTGTAATTTCTTCAAAATAACCAAAAGGGTTTGTTTTTCTGCCCCTCAGGTTGGTATTTGGTTTTCTTAAGCTTGTGCAAGTTTATTTTCTGTGTAGAAATTTATTTTTTCTAATATACTTGTTCTTTAGTTTTGGTACAAGAAACATGTTGTTTTTAGGTCCTCTTTGCAGCTATAGATATATACAGATATAATGAAAAAAAAAGATTTTAAATCAGATTTTTAGCTGGATTAAAACGACGTCATTTTGATGAGGTCAATAAAAAAAATTATAAAAGCCAATGAATCGTTGCCGTTTCACTTAACCGCATATTAGTAAGCTCCCAACCGCAGACGAGCCAGACCCCAAAACAACACAGGGTCTCTTTGCTCCAACACTAATGGCTATCTTCGTTCCCTATCTCTTGCTCTCCACCTTTCTATACCAATCATCATTTTGTGCTTTAGAAACCCACTTCGAGTCAGATTTGGCTCAGGAGCTTCTCATTTCCGCAAAAGATCCCAAGTTCTTCGACTGGGTGAAAAGGGTCAGAAGGCAAGTCCACCAGTACCCAGAACTGGGGTTTGAAGAGCACAGGACGAGTCAGCTCATTAGAGATGAGCTTGACTCACTAGGAGTCCAGTACAAGTGGCCTGTTGCCAAGACTGGTGTTGTGGCTTCTATTGGGTCTGGGGACCAACCCTTCTTTGCTCTCCGAGCTGACATGGATGCTCTCCCTCTGCAGGTTCTTTCTCTCTCTCTCTCTCTCTCCCCAATTATGTATGTATGTTTGGAAGTAAGTTTATCTCTATCTGTTGCTTGGAGTGTGGGAGTATGTTTAGTGATGGATTAAGAACGAGGTATGAGGATAAATCTTTTGGGTGAGTCGCAGTTTGCCAATTATTAATCTTTTAGGGCATAAAGTATAAATTTTGAAATCTGCAGGGGTTAAAAATTCCATTCACTTAAATATGTTTGACAAATCTTTAGAGAAATAGTTAGTACTATGAAAAAAAGGGTCTACAATTTTAATTTCGTTTAATAAGTTTCGGGATCAATTATATATCTAGACCGGTTTGTCATTAAATCCAAAGTTTCCATGCACAGAAAAAAAAATAAAAAATACGTTAGGGCCATTTTTAAGAAACGGCTAGAAGATAAGGTTATCGAGCTGCCTTCTATGACAACTGTCCCGACTGTGGAAGACGAGAAGCATAAGCACGGAACGTACTTCTTTACGCAAACTCCATGATCCTATTTTCTTGGTCTCCGAGAGGGTTGAACCAGCTTGTTAGATGAAGAGTTCCCTATCTTAGCAATGCAGAGGAGAATCCCTTATTTTCCGGACAGGAAGATAAACCCTCTTTACATTTGAAAAATTGCACCTTCGTCCACTGAGATTTGGTTTTGGTAACAATAAGCCCCTGACGCTAAACTTGGTTGGATAGTCATCATCCCTATTAATATGATTCATTGGTGATTTGGCATGCATGCTTTCTAAGCTGTAGATAGTCTTGAAACCAATTATATATTGCTACAATTGTGAGACTTAGAACACTATTAGTGACGAATAACAAAAGGGACATGGCCAAATTTTTCTTTTTATAGAAAATGCATGGTCACTGTGGAACCTTAGGCCCAACAATAATAGGAGCCTTGTGCAATGGGTACGCTCTTTTTTTTATGGTCACTATGGATGGCTGCAGATGCATTCAAAATATGCATTTGTCAGTATGGACAAGTCAAGGTAACTTCAGATTTGTTTTTTGTCTCCTTCGAACAAATCTGATCATTAAGTGGGTGTGTAAGTGAATGCCACTTGAAGGTAAAGTTTCTTGTTGGAGCCATGTAACCTATATGTAGCAAGATCAATTGAATGTCTCAAAAATGGTGGTGGAACCATGTATGTATAGATTTTAAGGGAATCTTGTGATGACCATAGGAACAGGTATCTTCTTGAGTCTCGACCATAGTTTTCCTATTTTGTTTTTCGATTAATATCTGTTACCTGTCTTGGCCTGAAACAGTTATAAAATGTTCTTATAGAACGTCGTTCTTATCACAACTTGCATGCTTGCACCCATAGACACAAAACCAACACTTCCTGATAAATGACCGGGGATGTTGAACACATGGTCCTCTCAATTGTCTGTGAGGAAACTGAAGAATAGTGAGCCTGGCTTTGACTTCATTGTTGTTGATGATGATGTGTATAACATTTGCTTTTGAAATTCTTGAGTTTGCCTCAGTGGTACTCTTAAGTCATAGGAGTAGGACGGTTAATCAAGCCGCCTAATTTCTTCTTTATTTGTGTGTTCCTGCTCCCTTGACACCTCTATTACCATTTGAAGGAACTAGTTGATTGGGAATACAAGAGCATGATTGATGGCAAGATGCATGCTTGCGGTCATGATTCTCATGTAGCAATGCTGCTTGGAGCAGCAAAGTTACTCCAGGCCAGGAGAGAAAGATTGAAGGTAAATTAAATTCACATTCATCACCTTTGAAATGATGGATTCTAATCCTTTCCTGTTTATTGTCGTCTTCCCTTTTCTCACTTGCTAATTTTTCACACTCTGTGCGTTTGAAGGGAACCGTGAAGCTTGTTTTCCAGCCTGGAGAAGAGGGTTATGCAGGCGCTTATCATTTGCTAAAAGATGGTGGTCTTGACAATGTTAATGCAATCTTTGGTTTACATGTAATGCCATCACTTCCCACTGGTACCATTGCTTCAAGGCCAGGTCCAATGCTTGCTGGTACTGGAATGTTTTCAGCAGCTATAAAAGGGAAAGGTGGGCATGCATCAAGCCCACATTTGGGTAGAGACCCTATTGTTGCAGCATCCCTGACGATTGCTTCCCTCCAACAAATTGTGTCGCGAGAGACCGATCCTCTTGAAGCCAGAGTAATTTCTTTGCTTCTCCTTGCTTCAGAATATTGCTGAACCAATTTTCTGCCAGTATTTAACTAGAGTTACTTAGAAAAGTATCAAGCACAGGCCATAGACCTAAAACCTAAATCTTTAATTTCTCACGCAATCTAGGCATTGCTTTTGTTGCAAAACTTTGAATTACTTCAGTAATATCAGAATCAATTTCCACTTAAACCATCAGTGAACCCTCTGGATTCCATATTAAGTTTATGGTTAGAATTTAGCTGTCTAGTTGGTATTGATTTAGATTTTGATACTACAAAGGATAAGCCATAATTCAACATTTCTATGAAGACAACTTCGGAGACTCAATCAAATGCCCACTCTTCTAGTTGTGCCTCTAACGTTACTTCGCTACCCAACCAGCTGATAAAAGGTTGAATTTAGCAAACAGGGCTGCAGGCATGAAATGCTAATCCAATCCGTCAAGGGAAGCCTAATCAGAGCGAACAATCAACCTTATTATCATCAGCTGTTAGATTGAATAGAACCTTCTGTCCACAGACTGTTCAATTCCCGATTGAGAGAGTGGGTGTGCAATACTCTCATCAGGAAAAAAAAGGGAAAAGATTTGAGAAAATTTCCGAAGTGACATTTTTAATTGTCAGTAAAAAATCTTGTAGGTGGTGACAGTGGGGTACATAGAGGGAGGCCAAGCAGCAAATGTAATTCCAGAGACTGTTAAATTTGGGGGAACTTTTAGAAGCTTGACTTCTGAAGGTCTGTCCTACCTCCAGGAAAGGATCAAAGAGGTAAAACTGCGCTCATATTCTTACCTTTGTGCGCCCATCTATCCTTGCCTGTCAATGAAACATACTGTAAAAATGTCATATTTACAGGTCATAGAAATGCAAGCAGCAGTGCATCAATGCAGTGCGATCGTGGACTTCATGGAGGAAAAACAAATGCCTCATCCAGTTATGGTTAACGATGAAGCAGTGTATGAACATGTGAAGAGAGTTGGGAAGACCTTAGTTGGGGAACCCAATTTTCAGCTGTTCCCGGTTATAATGGGAGGCGAAGATTTCAGCTTCTATTCACAGAGGATGCCAGCAGCCATGTTTGTGATTGGGACAAAGAATGAGACTCTAAAGTCAGATCAGCCATTGCACTCACCTTACTTCTTCATTGATGAGGAGGCTCTTCCTATCGGGGCATCGTTCCATGCTGCTGTTGCAATGTCCTATTTGGATAGCTATGCTGCTGAGTTCTGATACTTTTTAGGAACTCGGTTGTATTATTTTCACTAGATCCATAGAAGAAGGAAAAAAAAAAAAGAGCAATGCTATAGGGACCTTATTTGAGAACTTAATTTAGAGACCTAATGATGTGACTTCAATGTAACAATTGGATTATTTGTGAGTTACAATGTTAAATGGAGCCCACAATCAATCCAATGGTTGTATTAAATTAAGTCCCTAGATTAGCTCCCCAAATTAAGTCCAAATAGCATTTTTCAAAAAAAAATTGTGGGAATAATTTGAAGGAGTGTAATCTATGCTAATGGTGTATTATAAACTTCACAGCTGATGTGGAAACTTCTAGTTGAAGCTCAAAGGTGGTGGAAATAGTGAAGATGAGTACTAAAAAGGGCCAAAATGTGGGACCTCTTTTTTAAAATGTGCCATATTTACTATCATTTATCGATATTTAATTTATTATTACTTTTTTTTTGTTATAGGATGTCGAGATTTATGTCGATTACTCTTTCGAGTTTTGAGTAGGCCACTGTAATTCGAGTTTAGTTCAGAATATGTCTCCCAAGGAAAAAAGGTGATTGATTTTTAAAAGGTGTGAAAAGTATCAAACTTGAGACCTTTAATTGCAAGGAGACTAACTTGACACTGGACCACCTGAAGGTTTAATTCTCATTACTGGCTTGCTTGTGTGTGTGTGTGTGTTTTTTTTTGGGGCCCTTATAAGTAGGGTAGGCCATGGGCCGGGTGACCCATCCTCTGGGGCACTTGTTCTGGTCTGTAGGTTTTGGCCTATGGGATCACCAATTTGAATCATCTTAATATAATTTTTTCTCTATATATTTATCTAATATTATAGTTAGCAAATTACATTTTACATTTATAAAAACACAACAACGGTTGAGTTTAATTCAATTTTCATCCTATTTCATTTAACGGTACAAAAATCATTTCAAAAAAAAATTCAGTTAAAAAACATCATATTCTCTAGAGAGTAATCAATATCAAACTATTCAACAAATGCACTTTCTAATATCAGACAACAACACTAATAAACACTACCCTCTCTTTTCTATTTCCTACATCTCTTTTGTCTCCCGTTATAACCTTTAATTTCAAATTACATAATTAAAAATATAAATTATTATTTAAAATACAAATATTACATGATTAATACTCAATTTTTGTATTATAAAGTGTCTTTAAACACGAGGTTATTGTNAGACAACAACACTAATAAACACTACCCTCTCTTTTCTATTTCCTACATCTCTTTTGTTTCCCGTTATAACCTTTAATTTCAAATTACATAATTAAAAATATAAATTATTATTTAAAATATAAATATTACATGATTAATACTCAATTTTTGTATTATAAAGTGTCTTTAAACACGGGGTTATTGCTAATTAAAGTATATTAAAACAATGTATTAAATGCTTTGAAAAAAATATATATATTAAGATGATTCAAATTGGTGAATATATGATGCAACTTCAATTGATGATTCCATCCAGCAATGACGTTTCAACGCCACTCCAGCCATTCAAGGCGTATCCTACAAAAATCGCCATAAATCGTAAATTTTGGTTTGAGTTATTTGTAGTGCTTGATTATAGAACTTAGAAGCTGAAACAAAAACGAATTTTTTTATACGTCATATTGTGATTTAACAAAAAAATATAATATTAAAAAATAAAATGTCAGTACCATAATCTCATACACAAATTATTATATATATATATATATATATAACGGGTTTTGCTCCAACTAGGACTAATAATTGAACAAGTCCGAACGAGTTCAAGGCAAGTTTGTCGAACTCGTTTTTTAAAATGAATTTAAAAAATTATTCAAATTTAACTCATTTTTTAAATATGTTGTTAAATTGGTACATATTATTTAATTGAATTGTTAAAATAATCTAAAAGTTAATAACTACAAAAGTGTTAGCCCGATTTCTTACCCGTTTTTCTATTTTATTACTTTGGACGGAAGTCAGGTAGGAATATCCCATTTGATCTAGTAGGGTAGGCCAAGGAAAAATTCATCTGCAAAATATTAGGTAGAAGACAAAAAACCATATTTCTTATTTGTTGAGTATGGTGAACACCCCTACACCGGAAGTAGACAGCTTCAACGAGTGTTCCTCTGCCATTTGCTTATTTTGTTTCTTCACAATTGCTTGTGGAATGAAAATAATGAATACGAGAGAGAGAGAGAGAGAGAGAGAGAGAGAGAGAGAGAGAGGGTTAAGAACTCAGAAACAGAGAGAGGTATCCACGACTTGTGTTAAGTCAATGGAGCTATGGCAGTACCACAGAAGATTTGGATGCAGCACTGTCGACGTGGCTTCCAACAATGAAGAACGTAGATATAATAATAATAATGAGTAAATTACGTAAATACTTCTTAAACAATGACATTTGTGTCAATTAACTCGGAACAAATTTTTGTGTTAATTAAACCTCTAAACTCTAAAATTTTAACAATTAAGCCATTGAATTAATTTTTATGCTAATTGAGTCCCTAAACTCTAAAATTTTAACAATTATGCCTTTATATTAGCAACCATTAGTATTTGGACCAAATGTCTCACGCGTTCACCACATGAAAAACAGATTAGGGGTATTTTAGATTATTCATTCGAAACCTATTAGACGAAGAATTTTATTCCTTATATCCATCAACAACAACCGTAAACCTAAACTACTTTCTTATCCATCCAACAAAACAAATCAGCAAGCTCTTCAATCTAGTGTAAAAAATAAATTACATAAATGTAGACTCTTCAAAGTGCTTCTTTTGATGGGGTATGAAAGACGTTTAGGTTTAGAATTTCAATTGATAGGTATAAGGAACGAGTTCTTCGTCTAATAGGTTTCAAATGAATAGTCTAAATACCCCTATTTGTTGTCCACATGGTGAATATGTGAGAAATATCGTCTAAAAACCTTACAGTTGTTGACAAAATGGCTTAATTGCTAAAATTTTGGAGTTTAAGAGCTTAATTGACACAAAAATTAATTTTGGGCCTTAATTGCTAAAATTTTAGATTTTAGGGGTTCAATTGACATAAAAATTAGTTCAAAAACTTAATTAATGTAAATGTCATAGTTTAAGGGCTATTTATATAATTTACTCTAATAATAATAAAATGGGTTAAAATAATTTCAAATGGAGAAAACCAGAGATTTGTTACATTAGGATCGAATCATTTTCTGGGGAGGGCGGCGGAATATAGAAATAAATCAAAATTTTGATGTCCCGTTACACCAATACGTATGAGCAACTGAAAAACGAGTGGCGGAGTGCACAGGCGGGAGGGAGGCTCAAAATTCAAAGAAGGGAAAAATAATTAGTGTTTCACTATTTCTAACTGCATAATTTTTTATAATTGCCTATAAAGTTTCACCTAGCTAATGCCTGTATTCCTCCATTAATAAATAATAAAGAACNTTTTCTGGGGAGGGCGGCGGAATATAGAAATAAATCAAAATTTTGATGTCCCGTTACATCAATACGTATGAGCAACTGAAAAACGAGTGGCGGAGTGCACAGGCGGGAAGGGAGGGAGGCTCAAAATTCAAAGAAGGGAAAAATAATTAGTGTTTCACTACGACTAACTGCATAATTTTTTATAATTGCNACCATAAGGCAAACATCCGTTGCCCTAAAATTAATGAATTTGACCAACTCAACTAAGGCACTGATCTTATTTCGGTTTACGAATAATTAAATTTCTCATATTATTTCTTTTAATTATTTGAAATAGTTTTACCACATCCTAAAGCGAAACAAAATCATAAAGTTCGGAGGGCGAGTGAGACAACTGTTTATTTGATTCGTAACTCAGTGGGATAATTTAAAACTAATAACTTAAAAAAAAAGGAAACAATATAAAATGAAAAATATAATTGAGGGTTAAAGTATATCCTAACCTAAATTCTTATAATGTTATCCTAACACAATTCATTGATCTAACACGAATGAAATACAAAATTAGAAGATTTGATATTTCTTTAAATCACCTGTTTCGTAAACGAGTTGACTCGCACGACATGATTAATAAAAAAATTGGGTAGAAATAAAGTCAATCAAAAAAATGCACGATATAACTCATGTATATACCAGTTATGCATGATTTATATATGATACGAACCCAATATAATACAATTTGTTAGACACNTTTTTATAAGCAATAAATTAATAAAATTTTCTAGGCCATTTACTCCAAAAAGATTTTCTGTATTTTATTTCAAAGGAGTATCGGTACAAAGATAAGGCTAGATACCGCCTTTTCAAAAAAAAAAAAATAAATAAAAATNATACGAACCCAATATAATACAATTTGTTAGACACAAATCTAGGGTTAATTGCATTGGAGGTCCTCAAAGTATATAATTTGTTTCATTTTGGTCCATAATATTTCAATTACATCATTTTAGTTTCTAAAATATTAAATATGTTTTGATGTAGTCCTTTAAACAGACAACATTCAAATTGTTTATAATTTTTGATTAGAAACATCTCACTTGATATTTAAATATGAGTAAAAAATAATTTAGATAGGTCACGACAAAAAATGTATAATATGAATTTAAAATTTTTTTTATATTCGATTCGTTTCCGTTTTCTGGAACGAGGCCAAAACAACTTTGAGCTCAATTAGTTCAGTAATTTTGGTTTGATTGTCTGCCTCAACTCCAATCCCTTGGGGTGGGTGCGACCTAAAAAAAAAAGAAAATAAAAAAAGAAACACATTGGAGTAAGATTTAACATCAATCAAGCCATTTTTGTGTATAAGCCTAACTGTGATCTAAGACTCTAAGCCTAACACTACCTCTTTCAATTGTCTAGAATGAAACAGGTTCGTGTTGAGTTTTAGTGGGATCATGTTAGAAAAATAATTTATATATATTCAATTCGTATATTAATTCATTATATATTTATATATAATCGATATATAAACGAGTTGTGTTGTCGTACATTTTTTTTGATTAATTTTATCTGTATTTGATTCGTTTATTAATTGTATCATTTTAAATCTACTCATTTACGATACGAATAATTTAAGAAATATCCAAAATTTTTAATTACATCTTATATTCACGTCGTGTCAACGATACGATACTCATTAAGCCATACCAAACACCCATAATTTACATGAATCTACTGTTTTGTTTATCAGGCCAAAGATTCGGAAATTCCAGAACCTACACTCACAATTTGTACGTTTCTGTCTTTATACGCATGACTTTTTCAATACATTGACTTTTATCCTTCCTTTGTGTTTTTTTTTTTTTTGGGGGAAAGGGAAAAGAAAGGAAACTTGAACTCTTGATTTTAAAAAAATAAAACTTTCACAAGACAAAAAGTGTTATTGGACTAAAGACCCATTGATTTTTATTCGTTTTTAAATTNCTTCACAAGACAAAAAGTGTTATTGGACTAAAGAC